GGAGGTAATTTGTAAAACTTCATGTGAAATACAAAAATTAATATTTGATAATTAAGTGATGATTTGATAAATTACAAGAAATTAATTACAAAAAAATTAATTACTTTCAGGCTCAGTTTTTTCCAGTCGATAAATTTTGAAAAATCTTCCTTCATACTTAACAAATTTTAATTAAAAAGATTCATAATCTTTTTATAAAAAGTCTCATTAAAAAATTTACACAGCTTATGATTGGGAGTTCTGAAAAATTAGTATTCGTATAAATTACATTTTTTAATAAAGGGAGGTTATTGATTTTTAACAATTGTTCGAAAAAGCCGGAAAAGTATAATTTAATAAATTATTCAAATTTACCATATTTTCATTAAAAAAATCTGATTTAAAAAATTTAGATGTCTTATAAGACATAAGACGTAAATTTCTTTTTCCAATCTTCGAAACATATTCATTTAACCTTGAGAAAAAGTAGTCTACGATCGTAAGTTTACCCTTACAAGCTAAGAAAACAAGATTTGCTTGCAGAAAGGTGTCGTAAGGATCCGATAATTATGATAGCATTGTTTGCGATAGCCGCACACCTTTCTTTAACAAGCTGTGTACAAAGATGCTAGTAGTATCGAGTATGTCTCTATTAAATGTTTTCACGTGGTACTCGAGGTTGTTTAGTGGCCGTGCTACTTCACACGATGAAAATGAATAGCACGTCGATAAGCGCAACCCTCGAACTTGAAGAAGGGCGTTTACTTTCTTGCATGCAGGAAAGGGTAACATTAGAACGGCCTTCTTCACAAACGTGTGATCGGTTTTCTTTTTTTTCTAAGAAGACAGTATTGTTTCATTTTACCATGCCAATTGCGTATACGCAAACTCAATTCTATTTTTGCACGTTAAAAAGCAGACAAAATTTTAAAAACAGTTGCAAAATATAAAAATAAGTTCAGTTAATATAAATAGATGCAGGGTATAAATAAATGCAGTTATTTATGTAAATACTAATATTTAAATTAAAAACTGGAAAAAAATAAAAAATAAAATCATTAACAAAGTAAATACAGATAAAAAATAAATACAAAGTAAAAGGGGTAAATGTAATTAACTATGTAAATAAATACAGAGAAAATTTATTTTTAATAACTGCTAAATGGTAAATAATACAACGAATTTTTTTAAAATTATTTCTTATTCAAAATGTGATTGTGTGAAACAAAAGTTTGCCAAGGTCACTTGGAGATTGCTTTATGCTTTCTTGAATGGTACGCTATATTTTTGCTTCAGTGTAATGAAGGAGTAAAAAAAGACGAATTCAAGACATTACTTACACATGACCTTGGATGAAAGTAAAGTCGCTAAAGAAAAGATAAGGTAGAGCATATACTGTCGTTATGCTAATATTTGGAAAGTTAATTTTTTTAGATATTCATTTAATATAACTTTCGAATGTCTAATAGTTAAGATCTTTGCCTTATGCCTGGAATAAATTAATATTTAAAAAATAGTAGGTAAAGAATAGTAGGTAGTTAAATTTTGATACCACTGTGACTTTAAATGACAAATTTTTATTTTACATAATCATATTCCACATGAAAGGCATTTGTAAATTTTTTTGTATCATCTGCTGTTTAGCAGTTATTTCAAATACCAAAAATTTGTAGACACCCTGTATATTACCACTGGCCTGGTATTTTGATCACAGTATTGATTTCATTCTTTCTATTAATATTTTTGGTGTAAAATTAAGAATTCTTTTTTTTTAAATATGTAGAAGGCATTAAAATCGAAACTTTACTTTTTGAAGGCTTCAAACTATGAGGTTATATTTCGAAAACTTGTAACTGAAATCTTACATATTAAAAGCTTAAAATTAAAAGTTTACATTTTGAAAATTTAAAAGTGGAAGCATAGATTTTGGAAGCCTAAAATTGGAAATTTATGTTTCGAAACTTTAAAACCGTAAACTTTAATTTTGAAAATTATAACCAGAAGTTTAAAACTAAAAGTTTACAGTTTGAAAATTTTAAACTGGATGCTTAGATTTTGGAAGCTCAAAATTGAAAGCTTACATTTTTCGTAAATATGAAACTGCAAGCTTGCAATTAAAAATTAACATCTTAAAAGTTGCAATTTTAAAAGTTCACGGTTGCACTTTTCGTTTGCAAGATTTCTTTTTAGAAATATTGAGAAAAAGGCAATTTCATTGATCCGCTTTAGATTAAAACACATAATGTAAAAAGAGAATTGGGTTTTCTCTTTTTAATCCTATTAAAAAACAGAATGGAGAACAATTGCCTTTGTCTTCATCTTTCTATAGGGAGAACAAGGACCGTTTAATTGAATTATTGGAACAGGATTCGGATTGAAATTTTTCGTTTGTTAAAATTATTTTTAATTTAGTTCCTATCTGAGCTGTCGCCAAATTCTTTCTCCCTAATCTTCTGAAAATCAAGTGATTGCCGTCTACGTTTCTTATTGTCGATTGCTGCACATCTGTGTTATGGAACACGCCTATGTACACGCCTGTGTGCGTGTGTTGTATATTATATATTATAGATATATTATACATGTATATTTTATACATAATGTAGTCAATCATGAAACAATGAGACATGAGGTAGTTCTGGTTAAATATAAATAAAATAAATAAAAAAATACTTATATGAGGCTTTTTCAAAGAAAAGATTGATTTTGAATGGTGTTGATTGTGTTGAGTATGTATTAAGTATTGATTGATAGGAGGGGTGATCTAGTCATTATGGTACAACTGACAATGAAAAGGGGCTGATTCTTCTTGAGAAAATTAAATTTCATTTTATTCGTTTAATAACCATAAACGATGCAACCTTGAAAATTAAAAAGAAAAGTAATGTGACTGAATTTTGTATAAAGCAGTTGTATTATAATAAATTATGATTTTTTAAAATTAAATTTCTTTAAAAACATACAAGAGTATAATAAAACTTCTACATTTTTAAGAATGAATTCCATACATTTTTTTAAATAAATGGGTTGTATTGAATTTTAAATATTGATGAGGGCTATTGGTATTACTCCACCATTACTTATTAGTGGATTCTAGAATAATACTATCTAGCATGCTTTTGCTTTAGACGCAAGAAGGTTAGGGCTTTTCTCTAGTATCTAATGTGGGAAGAGACACCTGGAAGCCATTGTTATCTCTTTCTCTGAAACAGTTCGCATTAAAAACAGATGTGTGAATGAGAAAGGTAAGAACCGAAGTAAGGTAACGGCAGAAGAAAATTTTCAAGCACTCTGTAAAGAGATAATTAGCAAAGTAGCTACATTGTGAAGAAATAAGTTAGATGAAGGGAGACAGTCATCTGGTACCGAGGGAGGGTTGCCTCCCTAACTTTACTTTCGAAGTAAATGGAGCCTGTTTTCTACTTATGTACCGAAGTTAGAATCCTAATAAAGCCGAGTCAAATAGTTATAACTTTTGATAAAAAAAAGTTATTTTATCCATAGTTTCCTTTGAAAGTTAAAGTTACCCTCCGCTTGGGGCGAGAATAAATTTTTTTGTTCACATACTACAAAAAATTTCTTTATACAGTGAAATTTAAAAATAAATTATTTTAATACTATTTATAGATTTGTAAATAGTAGTTTGTAATAAATTTCATAAAACATCCTGTATATTTCATAAAAAAGGAAGAATATAAATGGGCAAATACTTTTGAACAATAGTGTATGTTCACTTATTGTTAGCTAGTGTCGTAGACATATGAAAAAAGTGTAAAAATTGAGTTATGATATTAGTGAAATAAGATAATCAAATTACTTTTATTCAAAATTTGTAATTATGTAATATATAGCAAAGATTAATCACTAGTACAATAGTTGATGCATAATAATTCTATATTAATTTGACAAGTTCATAAAATTTTTAGCAAATGTCAAAAACCACACCCTGTTGATGTCGGCAATTAAATAAAAATTAACCGAAAGCTTTAACTTATAAACATAACACGTTAAAAAATAAATAAATAAACATATATTTAAGATGAATTCTTGCTGATGTGGGAAGTGTAAATGCAGTGGCAAAATTAGTATAGCTTACTCTGCAGCATTTGATATGCTACATATGTTCACTTGCTAATAATTACAGTATACTCTTGTTATATTGCCGCGGAGGGGACTGAAAAAGTGGACAATTTTTCAAGCTTCTAAACTCTCAGTTGGAGAGGAAAAGAAGGATACATGAAAATCTGCATAAAGGACAAATCGTTCACGTGGCAATATAACGAGAGTCTACTATACTTAACATACTCAAACACCTAACTCGTATCATCTCCACAAATGTCTAAAATCAATTTTATTCTAAAAGAAAGCCCCGTATAAGAAAATATATTAACTGCACGAAGAATCGTTTCATGTCTCTCCTCTCTTTCTTGTATCTTCCATTTCTAATCGTTGCACCGTCATTGCAGTCATATTCTGTATAATATGTAGACATTTATATAATATATAATATATCGCGCGAGACACGCTGCATATACACGGTGTACGTATACAAACGAAGCATGCAACGAGTGCATATAAGATATACAGGGTGAGTCAATGAAAACTAATGTCTAAAATAACTTATTATCTCTTGCTTGTATTAAAAAGTAATTAAAATGAACCATGTAGCATTAGAAGGGGTACATCATGTGCAGAACTACATTTGCTTATATTTTATATTTTTTGAAATTTTAAGATGACCTCAATTTGTTGCATGATCAATGTAATTTTTCTTTTTTTAAATGCTGCTTTCAATTTTCAAGATTTTAAAAATATAAAATATAAACAAATCTGATTTCATCCATCTAATGCATCTCTTCCAATGATATAAATTGTTTTATGATACAAGTGAAGGGTAATGAGTTGCTTTAGATGGTAGTTCTTATTGACTCATTCTCTATATGGAATCTTTTAATTATAAGATAGCTGACAAGATGAGTAGCTTCATCGAGATCGATTTTAGTCGTGGTTCGATGGTTTTTCAGCGACCTTGAGAAGTACTTCGAGTATCAGGGTCAGGACTACATTTGCTCTCGTCCCGACGACAACGGAATGCACTCTTGCAGTAACTTGCCACCGCTTAAGTTTGGTGAGTGCACTTTTTTTCCCCTTTTCTTTTCCTATGAAACTTTTTATTTTTCTTCGATACGGTTGCTCTGTTTCATCGAAACCCTGTTGCACCGATCAAACTTTCAGGATATTTTATTATATGGGCCCTTTCACTTAATAATTTACCAAATAATAATATTATTGGTAATGATTTGTAGATTTCTGTTGTACAAATAGTTTTGTAATTTTACAAGATAAAAGTCTGACGTTAGTACATTTTCTAAGTGTGCATTATAAAAATGTATTTGCATAATTTTTACAATTCTTGAAATAAGGCTAATAATTTTGTTTACAAATTAAAGAAATACATTGCCAAAACAATGTTTAATTTTAATAAATACGTTACATATTTTTGGTAGAAGAAAATAATAATTTTGCACTGATAGTTCACTTTTATTAAATTATCAGTAACAATAATAAAAAAATCATCGAGATTTATTGAACAGTATCGAGCAAAGTAAGCTTCCCTAAGGAAAATGGCGATATAGGGATTTTCAGAATTTTAATTTTGACGATATTAATATTGAAAGTGATTTAGAAAGAAAATAATATGATTTTTGTGTTACAAAATTTAGTATAAAAATAGGGAATATGAATAATAACATAAATATCGATTCAAATTCTCCCGCGTCAATGTTTATACGCAAGTGGAGGGGAGTCATAGGTCTGTATTATATGGGCCCCTTCCCCTATATCGCAAGAACGCCTAAGGGGTGAGACAGGAGTCCAATAAATGGGAGGCTTACGTCGAGGACCACGAACCCCCAAACCCAGAAACTAGAAAAAGTCTATAGGAGATCAGGAACCCGAAAATGCGGGAAAATCTACTACGGGGGAAGAGGGATCACCACTTTCCCTGGGGAAGCCTACCATGCTCGATACTGAACGTCAGCTTATTATACTTAGGTGTCCATAATCTACCAAAAAGTGGATTTCATCATTTTTCAAATCATTTATTATTTAAATATTGAAGTATACCCAATCGTGAAATTTTTTACTTAAACTTGAATAGAAAAGCAACAAATATTATTCATGATTTATTGAAAGTGTCCTAATAAAATTATTGTTCGCAAATGAATGAAATGTTTGAAAAAAGTAAAGGTGTCAATCAAAGATGACGAACAAAGCGGTAGATTAACAACTTCGATTGACAGACTCGTTTTGAAGTGGTTCAGTTTTCACCCACCCTAATTTTTAGGAAGGGTTGAACAGAGGGCGGCACTGCATGGGAAGTTAGCAGGGCACCTTATACGATATCGGACAAACTGTTTCGTTCATTACGTTTTTATATTAGGTCGTTTCATAAATTCGAGCCATTTTTCACATTGACGTTCAGAATAAAATATTGAATATTATTAAAAAAGTTTTTTTTCATGCATGTTCCTCCTATTTCGCGAGTGAAGTATTATGAGCGAAATTTATTTTGCATTTTATCAAAATATTTTGTGATTTATTGAAACTCATAAAACACGAAATGTCAGATATAAATATTCATTTTATTTATGATTTTTCTCTTAATTGATCCACGTACTCGTTTATAAAAATCAATTTACCTTAATTTGAAATAAATTCAATTATATACTTCCTAAAAATATTGTGAAAAATTATATTAGCAATTCTTTAAACAAACATTTAGTGACTGTTTAATGGAAGTTTATAAAAATTGGTAATTATAAATATAAATTTCTGTTTCAAATATTATTATTCCTATTGCATACATTTAAAAAAAGAAATAGTGAGTAGGTACTTTAAAAGTTATTAATAACGGGGATTTTTACAAATACTACGTAATGAATTTAGCACAGAAACTTATCCAAAAAATGACTACATAATTACTAATTGTTTGACAAAATTATTTTCTATATTTTTCTTTTTTTTTTAATAATATATACTTGCGGATAAAAATTAAGAAACAAATAAGTTTCGTATAATTCAATCAATATTTACCACCAAATGAGAGATTATTAAATAAATTAATACTACTTAAACCACGAAAAAGGTATGACTTTATAGATTAAGGGCTGATAAAAATGATTTCAAATATGCTATATAATAGCAATATTTAATTTTTTAATTTATTGTGAACAATGTAGAAGATCAGCATTACTCTTTTTGCATTTTTTAATTTTGAAAATTGAATGATAATTATCATTATTATTGTACGTTTTTAAATACAAAATTAAACACAGAATATAGATTTATTTGAATAATGAAAAATCTTTTCAATTTGCTGGATTTTTCTATTTACACGTTAAAAATACCACGATAGTAACTCAATAATATTTAAATGTAAAAACTGTTTAATTTTCAATTGCAGAATTTAGAAATAAAGATTCTATTTGGAAGTGTACCAAGAATTCTACAATAATGAAACCGTTGGAAAAGGGTCAAGGCTATATAAACCATATTCTGAAAAAACTATGTATTTTTTAAGATTTATTTTACAAAATGATATTTCATATGCACCAACTTAATGCACTATTGAATCGAAACAGATATTGAATAGATGAATCACTATGTCTTGATACTAGGACGACAGTCTCGAAACAATTCAAATGTTCTTGGTTCTAGGAAATGTGGTTTGCAACAGTACCGCGTTACCGAACAACAATACAACGTTTATCACCAACGACACCTGCGTTAATTGGAATTACTACTATACGGAGTGCAAAGGTCAGGGTAACAATCCTTTCCAAGGGACAATATCGTTCGATAATATTGGTCTTGCCTGGGTCGCAATATTTCTCGTGAGTGTCCTACTTCTTTCACATTCACCAATGGAAACATCACATTAACCGCATTTAATTTGAACCCTTTACGCTCGTCGAATTTTTTATTTAATTTTTAACATTCCATCTTAATATTTAGTATAACATTCGTTTTGTATTATTATATACAGAGCTGAGAAAAATTTAGAGAAAAAGTATTTAAAGTATTAGGTACTATAAAGTTTAGATAAAATAATATTTTAAACAGAAAAATAATTTTGAAGGATTTATACGTAACAAATTGCTACAACTATGAAAATAAAATATTTGATTTCTTAGAATAAGTTTTACTTTCATAATTATACATATAATGTAAAATAAAATTAATTATTTATTAATTACCATTTGAAATATTATTTTACCTAGCACTGAGTGTCTAATACTAGGTGATGATATATATTTTTAATAATTCTGGATGATGGCGTCACTAAAAGCTGACTACACGCATTTAATTCTGGGAAAATAGATAAAACTATGGCCAAATTGCGGAATAATTTCTAGCAAAATAAAAATTTCTATATGGACCCTTACCTTAATAAAAGTTCTTATCGATGTAACCTTTGTTAAAACTTTTAAATAAGATCAAAGGTAAAACGAACAGTTTTTCGTGAATATCTCGTTATCTATTAGTTCTACAACAAAAGAGCCTATTACAAAATTTGTAACTTAAGAAATTTTCTATAAAAAGGGTTCTATAAATCTTTTTCGTAAAAGTACTCCTTTCTGAGATATTATCAAATGAATTTTCCAGTGAAGATGTGATCTGTTAAATATGTATATTGCAAGTAGCTATGAATTTGATGAAACATTTCCCTATATTATTTTTGTTCAATGTTTATAAATATATTTTAAATAAATGCACTCGAAAAATAGAACACAATTTTACATTTTGTTCTTGATAAATCCAAGAGATAGAAGCAAAAATAGCAATAAGCGAAACTAGCGAATTCCAACAGGTAAAAAGTCTTGCAAAAGGCAGCAGAATCAACTCGTTTTATCCTTGATAAAGGAATTGTAAGTGATCAGGTGTGTAAATATTGGATATTGATCTGAACGACAAACTACGTGCTGTGGCCTCGCAACGAGTAGAAACCAATGATTTGCTACGCTTAATGGAGGAAGATCCAATTCCGACCGTACAAGAACTCACAAATCAATTAGAAATTATTCACAGATTTGCTGCCAATTATTCGTATATACGGAATAAGAAAAATTCGTAAGAAGAGGGAAATGTATTTCGTCTCACTCAGTTATTAAAGCTTAATTTACACACAGATGTAATTCAGTAACAATTGTTCAAGAAATATAATTTATTTATATATTAATTGCATTGTAGCCCCCGTTAGGCCATCCAAAAAATTAGGATTTTTTATTTTAAATAATTCAAATAAATAAATAAAAATGTGTGTGACTTGCATTAGTTTTGCAATACTACTGTTGTGTATATAGTGGTTTTTTTATGCAAGATTATGTATTTGGAATGTATTTAGAGCGTAAAGGGTTAAAATGTAGTATACATTTTGATATAGCTGTCAATACAGTCAAATTTCATTTAAATAAAAATAATTAATTTTAGATTTAATATACTGAACAATTAAAGTCTATATACTAAGCAAAATTAATATGGTAATGATATTCTTCTAGGTAATCAGTCTTGAAGGATGGACAGATATTATGTATTATGTACAGGATGCTCATTCTTTTTGGGATTGGATATATTTCGTCCTTTTAATTGTGGTACGTGTGAAGCTCTACGTAACTGATTGTTTCGTGGGCTTAATTCAGCTGAAGTTCAATACTGATTGAAATTTTAATTAATTAGTTGACCGTAAATCATCTTTTGGAAATAATTACAATTCATAATTAGTTTGCAAGAAGGTTACTTTCGTTAATTGCAATTACATGTTAGTTATTAATTTTTGGCCCGAATAAAGTAAATATGAATGCAAAACATTGGTAAATAAATTAATAATTAATCTAGATTTGTAATGAATTTCTAATTTACAAACAACTAAATTGACCAGTGAATTGTTGTATATACGATGAAAAGCAAGACTTTTTGTTATGAGACTATCTTTCATATCACTTTATTTTGTGAAGAATTTTTGAGTTTCAATTTTTAATTTAAAAAGTTTTCATTTAAATTCACAACTGTATTCATAATTATCAGATGGGCAAGGAGGTCAGAAACAATTTTTGTCATACCTTAATAGCATTTTATTTTTATTTATTCCAGATAAAATTTTCTGGAATTTTCTAAAATATTTCCAAATTAATTCTTAATGAGAGATCCTTCTGACCCCCACCCCTTAATTATGTTACTAGTTTGAAGGTAATTAACCCTTGAACAGCGGAATCTAAGTCAATCGAGACCCAAACATACAAAACATATAAGTACAAGAATACTAACCCAAGAATTAAGAATAATTTTTGAAGGAACAATGCAAAATTTAGAAAATCATAATAATATGTAATACAAAATTGAATTAAAATTGCCGTTCGAAGGTGAAATTCGAACATGATATTCCGACTTTTAATCAAAATAGTATCATTTAATAACGAATTATTCAATTAAACAAATTTGAATTACAGATTGGTTCCTTCTTCATGATTAACCTTTGCTTAGTCGTAATAGCAACACAGTTCTCAGAGACGAAGAAACGAGAGATGGAACGAATGCGACTGGAACGTGCTCGGTTTCATTCTACATCAACCCTTGCATCATCGACAAATACTTCCGAACCAACTACGTGTTATGCAGAAATTGTCAAGTGAGTGTTTCGTCTGTTATATAACAATTTCAAATCGTTTTCCTGAAATTTTGGAACAAAAACAAAGGGTGGCAGAGAAATTGTCTTCTTATCGCGCATTTTATAATTTAGTATAGTGCTTCCCAAAATGGGCGATACCGACCCCTTGTGGGCACTAGAACAATTCATGGAGGTGATAGTAGCCTCAGGTGTAATGGGGGAATGTAAAATCACTGCATTTCTCTGTTCGTTCATTTAAAGAAGGTGGATTTCCAGGGGGCACTATGCTTTTCTAAGCATGGGTGGGGGGGTTAAATAAGTTTGGAAACCTATGGCTTAACAAATTGTTAACTGGTGTTTGCACTTGCCTTGACTACTTTATTTTTCGAAACCCAGGATAATATGGAATATTATAAAATTTTTACAATATCCCATATTATTATTATAAAATTGCTGGTCAACAATGTGTTAATACCTCAAAAACATTTCAAATAATTTGCATGAATGTAGTCTCTGACCTCTACCTACGCCAATGACCCTTCTTATATATATTTTTTAATTAAATTTAAAAGTCTAAAGAAATCTATTTCATGCACTAATGACAAACATTTCTATGGGAGCCCCTATTTTCATCAGGTCCTGGCATGTGCCCATTTTTCCTAGAGCCCTTAAACGCGTCCTGAGTTTTATATTAATAAATATGATTAAATATCCGTAAAATGCATTATCAGTCAGTATCCTTTGTAATATATACGCAGCTAAATCTCTAAAATAGTATGTACAGTAGACTTTTATTATATTACATGGATTTTACCAGTGCCACCTTTTCATTATCATAATCTATGAAAATGATACGTTTCTATCTCTCCTCCCCCTTTCAAATAAGAACTTGAAAGCTTGACGAATTTAGCACTCTACAGCCTCGTAATCGGCGATATAACTAGAGTCTACTGGGTAAGATAGATAAAAATTTCATTAGACAAAGTTAAATGATGTCAAATAAAGCATAAAAATATATTTAAATAAATTTTAATTTATTTTATAAATTTATTCCGTTAAATTTTCCTTAATAAAATAAAATAAAATAAAATAAAGGATTGGTAAACGTTTAACTGAGAAATAATCAATAATGTCAGATCTTTTCCTTCTTTCATTCTCACGTAATTGTATTGTGTGTTCTCAGATATATTGCACATCTATGGAGAAGAGGGAAGAGAAGACTAATGAAGAGATATCGGGTATATTTATACAAAAGGCAACAGAAACGCGAGCAAAATTTACTTAAAGAACAACGGCAACACGGACATCCGTTTCGAGGGAGTACAAGCGGTGCTGATTCAAATCGATCTGCAGGTAAAGGTAGTGTATTTCTTGAGTAGAACACAATTACACACTGGCAAATTTAATTTTCATCTTTCTCAGTAATTTTTGCAAAAATATTCTTTCCATTTTACCATCTAATTTCTATGTAATCAATTCTTGGTGTCGTGACTAATTATGAAATAATGGGATTGTGCAATTTAATCCTGGACACTCTGTGTATTCTGTCACTTATAATTACATAGCTAATGCAAACCATTTCGGTGATTGCCGTCCACAGACGCAAACAGTATGCAGAATAGAATATGTTATTTATTGGGCACCATTGTGTACAGTATTAATTTGTCAGGTCACACTGCAGGTATTTTCGTACTGTACGATACATTGTTAATTCTCATATCAAGAGAAAATATTTCATATTTATATAGCTATGTTAATTGTATAGAATTCAGTTTTGCATCTAATATTTCTGTGAATTAAATCTCAATCAACATTAGAAGTTTTTACAAAAAAGGATTATGTAAATAATTTGGACTGACAATTTGGAAAACAGCTATTTAAGTAAGGTTCAGTAAATTAAATTTTAATCAGAATTAGAAATTTTTGGAAAAAAATATTAACACTTTAACCCTCAGATATTGGCTGATTACTTGTTTCTCCAGTATAAAAAACAGATACTTCGGATTGTATTAATATAATTATACGATGCACGAATTTCCCCACATATATTTTAACCCTTGTACGGCGGACCATGGAGAAACCCCCAATTTTAATTACATATTTTGTATTCCATATTATCATTATTCTCTAAATTTGACACTGTTCCCTTATAAATTATTCTTTTAATATATGAACCCTTTCATTAAAAAATTATTCATTTTAGATTAATACATTATCAAATAATTGAAACAGATTTTAAATAAGTGATATGTAAAAGTTGTATCAAAGCTCTTTTAATCTTCAGATCTAAATTTAATTGAAATTTTAAAGACTGACGTCAAAAAATACGTCAAACTTAAAGAACTAAAAAAGTTATACGAACTTCGTATCATTATTGAAGATGGATAGACTGTTATTGACGGCTAATTTAATTAATTTCACGTCGTTACGAGAAAGTTATTCTTCAAAAAGGCAAAGCGACACATTATTAATAACATCTACCTTCTTTTTATAAATTAAATTTTTGCTTTTTATTTAACTAACACAGTTTGTATTAATAATTTTAAACTCATGTGACTTTAACTAATTGCATTACAAAATTAAACGATTCAACTTATTATGTTAGAATTGTTAATTTAATTTTTTTTTAATTAATTCAATTACTGTAATTTAACATGTTAAATAATTTGCTTTTTTGTTACATTTATTGTATTTACTTTTTAAAAGATGAATTTTTTAATTAGTTAATCCTCATATAACATTGGGAAATAAATTATAGGATACGTCTAGAAGTTGATGTAATTTTAGATAATCTATATTTTTCAGCATAATTTATAACATTTCAAAATTCTCATTGATGTTATTCAAGATGATCACGTTAGATGAATCACCCTCTATATTGTACTTGTTATAAATAACCTCTAAGATAAACTACTTTCCTAAACTGATATTACGTAGTAAGATGCAAAAGGTTCTGGTCTAACCTTGATTTACAAAAGAACATTTTTAAAAATCATCAGTATAATCTGCCAGTATTATGAATATCTATTGAGTAACACTTCTATTCTTTTATAGCGAACCAATGATAAAACAACAAAAGGTTAAAAGTACTGGTATTTCTAAATTGTAAGGAACAATTAAAACACAATATTTCTTTTCTCACTGCGCAATTCGTTATTTTTTAAATCCATAATCTGAAGTACCTGATACGAGTATTTCTGATTAGATGAGTCAGGGAATTTCTAATGATATGGAAATTGAAGCTTTGTTAAAAAATAAAATACTTATGTATACGGATTAAATTTTAGTCAGAATTAAAAAAAAAAAAATACATAAATGATAATTATGACAATTACCTAAAGTTCTCAAAACAACACAGTGTAATTTGGCTTGTATGGCTAATCATACTTGTCCTAAAAAAAATTAAAGCAGAAATAACTACTCATAAGTCAAGGAAAACGAGAGGACATTCTATTACATGGTAACCCTCGACCACATGTTATAAAACCCGATACAAAAATCATCATAAACTTAAGCTAAAATGTTCTACCTCAAGCCAGTTATTTATCTACTACTATTTAGGTCAAGGAAGCATTTACCATGGGACGGCACATTGCAAATTTTAGAAATATATGCAAACTTATTGGCGAATTTACTGCTTTCAAACTGTAATAGTATCTTTCTTACACGATGGAATTTGCAAATTACTCAGAAGCGATTAAAAGTGATATATTGACGAACAGTTTTTATGTATAAATTATGTAACGTCACACAATAGGTTTTTTAAGTTCTTTTACTGCTCGAGGGAATTTATGAAAAATTACTCAGAAGTTTGAACAATTTTTTTCTACTTTTCGTTTTTGTTTTGAAATATGATATCTGCAGCACAATTTTTCATAAAACAGTGTCCTTCCTTCCTTTTTTGTTCATTTTCACATATTACTCATGGACATGTACAGTTTCAAACATTTTTAAATTCCGAATCTGAAACCTGTTTGTCTCCATCAAACTCAGTTTTTGAGACATTCAATTTGAAAAAAAAGTCAAATTTTTTATGCATTATTTGTAAAAACTAGGGAAAATAAGATTATGTAATTATTGTGACATTTTTTACACCAATTTTAATTTAATTTTTTATTTCATATTATGATATTTCAATTTCTAAATTTTACATGGTCTCGATTAAACATACTTAAACAATTTTGAAAGTGGACAAGATTCGTCACACGTGAATTTTTCAGATATCTTCTATTTTATTTTGAATATTAAAGATCTAAGACAAAATCTAACTGCTTCATTTTCTCGTAAAAATCGTCAAATAAAGTTACAAAATAGATTATTTATAATTGAAAAAATAAAAGATTATTAAAATTGAAAATTTTACTTTTCTTTCAAATTTAGTTTTTTTTTTAAATTGAGATCAATGGAGAAACATAGGTTTCCGATTCATAATCAATGCATGAAAACCGATCACCCATTGATTATTACAACACAAAATATGTGTATGTAGGATAGTGTAATTCTGTTGTAAGTAAATGTAACATCATGCACATTAATATCATTATTGTTCATTTAATTACCATCCACTAGATAGGAGACTTCACTATGGAAGGTGTCCTCGGTTGTTGGCGGCACTCGAGTACGCGGAACAACAGCAACAACAGCAGGGTATCGGCAGCGGTGATGGATCGCTAACTGATTTTACGGCCAATAGTCCACCATCGCAGGGTGCAATTCTGGCTACTGCCGTTAGCAATAATGGCGGGAGTAATGGAAATTTAGCTGTTGCACCCCGCGCTAGTCCTGAAATTTCCGAGGCAGACGTTTCTTCGAATGTGGGCCATCGCTTAGGTCTCCATCGAACTTCATCGGTCTCTTGTAACGGAAGTGACAATGTCGTCTCCAATGCTACTGAAGCCAGCATACAGGTGTGTTCTTTTTATATTTTATACCAGCAAACTCACCCAGGGTGTGTATTTGTCAAATCTATAATATTTGTGATATTAAGTCAAAGGGTTCGGGGATTCGCGAGTTTCATGGCCTTGTCATAGAGCCACTCCTACTCTAGACTTCCCCTACTCCGCCATAGGCGATCCCGAAGAGTACGACAACATAAGGGAGGAGACCCCTCTTGTGGGTGGTAGGTGGGGTGATTTTGAACAACTTTCTCCTTTACCAAAATGCTCGTTAAGGCTTAGGTTTTGAATTATTAATGAAAAACACCGACCAATCAGAGCGCGCATAGTGCGCAGGCGCGGGAGTGTCAGCTACGAACCAAGCTTGACGCGATACCGAGTGGTTTCGGATGGTTCTCGTACTTACTCCCGCGGTTGAGCCCGCCCACTGTGCGCGCTTTGATTGGTCGGTGTTTCCCATTAATAATTCAGAAACTAAGCCTTAACGAGCATTTTAGTATAGGAAACAGTTGTTCAGAATCACCCTAGCTATCACCCTCTCAAAGGATGCCGACAATCGATAATCAGTTTATTATTAATATTTCTTAATTATATACGAAATTTTATAATATTTAGTAATTAAACATTATATTATCTTTCTTCCTAAATTACTTTTAGTATTAATATTCTTGTTTCTTCAGTAACGCCATTTTCCCTAGAGAAGCCTACTTTGCTTAATACTGTACATTAATTAAATTCTAATTGAAACTTTCTTCATTCTTTCTAATGGTAAATAAATAGCTTAAAAATAGACAAATAATAATTTTAAGTAATTTTTAACTTCAGATTACTATTGACTTCCTTAGTTCCACTATGACAAAGTATCACTCTCCTTTAATATAAACATTCTATGTAGATATTAACAAAACCTTTCTCTGAAGAAGTCAAAAAGCGTTAAAAAAGACTTTTGCTGTATGGAACTAACGTTAACAAAAGACGGTCAAAAGGCTTTTGACCGAGCCAAGCCACCATTTAAATATTAATTCACGAATAAACAGCATCAACATCTTTTGACTTCATGAATATTAATCATTCTTCTTCAGACAAACAACGCGCTGCTAAGTCCACCTTGTACGCATTATCGTAGAAGAAGTAGCGTGATGTTCAACGACGTGGTATTGTTGCATGGCAGCAATAGCGTGGGAAATGCATTGCAAGCTGGATCTATAGTGTCACCTGGCGAAAGGAACGTGTGTTCGAGCGAAAAAATGACCCAAACCGGAGACGGCAATGTTTGGTCGAGTCCACTGCCAGATCACATACAGGTATCTTTTACAATAAAGTTTCATTCATACTATAATTAGAATTATATTGAAATTTTATATCAGACTTTTTCAAGTAATGTTTTATAGATACTTCATATTAGGTCTGTACACGAAATTGCCCGTAGGGCACACAAGTGCCCGCGGGCTTGTTACGGGCTCGCGTCCATTTTTAAACGACTGCATCAATGAGAATGGAGAGCCTTGAATAATTTTAAATTTTTTACAATAAAATTTGTAACATTCTGTAATTGTGAAAAATTCTACTAATTTTTGAAAGAATATATAAAATTCATTTTTGTGTATTGCAGCAGAAACCACTCATTTTTACTGATTTTTAAATTCCCTTTTATCTTTACGTGATGATAATCTCATCATCATTACTCCTTCCTTAGGAAGTTCAATTAGAAATGTAGTATACAAGTAATTAACAAAATACAGTAAAGAGAGTCGATGATAGCTGAGAGGAATTTAAGTGCGACGGTGCAAATATCAAAGAGCAAAGCGTGCCTTTAAGTGCCTTAAGAATATCAGCATGGCGTGAGTTATAGTGTGAATCAACCTTAATTTATCGTGCGTGGATGTTGTTACAGATGCAAGCTGAATTGGGTGGGAACGAAGCTATGACCTGTCAGGAATTATTAGCACTGAGCGGGGCTCTAAGCGCAGCTTTACCAACTGGACAATTGGCATTGGATTCCTTCCTCAATTCGCTTACAAAAGGTACTTATATTTCCATTTCGTTTAATAAAAGAAACCTATTATATTTTTAAAAATTATCGTATCCTTGATTATGGCCCTCTTACCCTTAAACAGCGGAGGCTAGGTCAGTTATGACCCAAACTTACAAAACCTATACAAGGGTATTATAAAGGGTTCCTTATATTAGAAGAATAATTTTTAAGGAAACGATGCAAAATTTAGAAAATGAAAATAATATTAAATACGAACTTGAATTAAAATTGGGGTTCCCTCCATGGTCCGCCGTCCGAGGGTTAAAATAGTGATTGTTACACATTTGTCATAAATAACTGGAAGATAAAAAGACATTATTTTTTATATAAAATTCAGTCAAAAAAATACCATGAAACACTTTTCTTTTTTCAGGAATAACGGACCGACATATTACTTTAGAGGATCGTACACAATGGTTGGTGACGGATGTTGATAATTGTTCCTGTTGTTGCGAACACCAGGGCGGCGATCAATGGCCAGAGGAAGGTGACAAATGGACTAAAGCTTCACGGGCGAAGAGAGTCCTTAGGACTTGCGGAAGTCGTTGTGTCTGCGCGTTACGTTGCATAAGACGGTCGATCAAGAAACTGGTCGAGCACAAATACTTTCAACAGGGTATTTTATTGGCAATTTTGATCAATACTTTGAGCATGGGAATAGAATATCATAACCAGGTCAGTACTTTTCTTTTAGTATCGTAAAGTGCAATAATTCTTGCCATGCATTTTGTTGACTGTTCTCGATGTTTCATTTTTAAAACACCTGTATTGAACGTCGTGTTCTTTTCTTCTTATTTATTTATCAACAGCCAGCACAATTGACTGTGGCGGTTGAAATAAGCAATATCGTATTTTCCGCTGTCTTCGCCGTGGAAATGTTATTAAAAATAATCGCGGAGGGCCCGTTTGGTTACATCAGCAATGGATTCAACGTCTTCGATGGGGTCGTTGTGGTCCTCAGGTACGTTTAATAAATAATTCTTGAATTTTCAAAAAATGACTGTCAAAGACAAATGTTTATTGCATTTATTATTCATCTTTCAAATATAAATGAAGAAGATAAAAGTGTAATAAAAATTATTATTCTATAAAACATGACTTATATGTACATTACAGTAACATAAATTGAAATTGTTTAAGTATTTTTGCAATATCTAAAAAATTTATTACTTTGTTGCATATTATTTATTACGTAGCTAATTTGTTTTTTTATGACTATAAAAGAGTATATATAATTAAAAATTCATGTTTTAATATCATAAACTCTAATGCGTCAAACATTTTTTAAAATTTTAAATTATACCAATTTTATCAAAATCGGTATCGGTATTTTGAGTTTTTCTGGAGAAAGTGCAGAGGTATATTCTGTAGGTAAAAATAAGAAAAAAAGGTTAAACAAAGGTCGGCTATAAACAATTTGTTAGAAAGTTAAAAACAAATACTGCCAGCATGAAAAAGTAACAATGGACTTTCCATTGCAGTACATGACGGGATACTGTCTGCGTAGGCTTCAGACATTTAGAAACTTAGAGTAACAATCACTTCCTGTTAGCTTTTTTAAAAAAAGAAAAATGGCTATTGGTAAAAGTTAACCCGTTGATATCCAAAGGTGCATATTTACAATAATTTACTGTTTTTTATGGCCACAATTTTTTCTTTTTATTATGTTTGATTTAAAAAAATATTTAAGTTTTTATTAAATTTACAATGTTATAAGCAAATATCCACCTCAATTACTCATTATCATTTGCTGTACCCACCCCTGCTGACCTGACGTTCAGTCGTCGTTACTGGGCAGATTGCAGGTTTTAGGTGCTTTTTACTCGAAGTTTTAAACGTTAATTACTGGAAAACAAAGTCGCAAACGCTATTTCGTCATTCTTGATTTTCGTTTTATTTTGATCCCTAGAATCACCCCTTAAAAAATCTCCCACCTGTTGTCAAACACCCTGTATATGTATACATACAGGGTGTCCGAGAACTGGGGTAGGGCCCGTGGAGGTGATTGCTGAGGTCATTCTAAACAACTTTTTCCTTTGCCAAAATGTTGGTTAGGGCTCCGTTTTTGAGTTATTAACGAAAAACACTGGCCAATCAGAGCGCGTCTTTAGCGCGGGCCGAACCGCGAGAATGTTGGGTATGCACTGCGTTCAAGACGTGGTCGTGATCAAGTGCATCGGCACCACGTCGGTGTAATAGGATTCGTTGTTCATGACCAACCAATAATTCGATACTATTATACCTTTCTTTTTTTAATTCATTATTCAATACAACTTTCGTCCAGCAAGTGCTGATGCATTTGATCACGACCACGGTTTGAACGCAGAGCATACCCAATACTCTCGCGGTTCGGCCTGCGCTAAAGGCACGCTCTGATTGGCCAGTGTTTTTCGTTAATAACTCGAAAACAAAGCCTTAACCAACATTTTGGCAAAGGAAACAGTTGTTTAGAATGACCTCAGCAATCATCCCTCCACGGGTCCTACCCCAGTTCTGGGACACCCTATATCGGTTTTAATATGACTTTGCTAGCGTCATTAACATAATGATAATACATACAGAATCCATTGATTTTAAGTTTCTGTTTCAAAAAAGTGAAAGTTTTTTCAAATAGGAAAACCAGAAAAATTACCGGTATACCGTTATAAAAGTAAATATACCGGTATGATATCATCCCGGTATTTCGGTATTTCGGTTCCTATAAGGGTTTTGAAGGTGTAACCGAAAAATACCGTTATTATATATAGCGGAGTTCACCAGAGTCCATAACTGCGACGCGCAGGTTGCAAGATGGTGGGGGAACGCAGCGAGCTCTCCGCTAATCGCTTTCTACTTCGTTTGGGAGTACCGCCAATCAGGGCGAAGATGCGTACTGGAGATGCGCGAAGAACGAAAACTGGTCTTTTCGCAGTTATGGACTCTGGTGAACTCCGCTGTAGATATTTTCAGCTTCAGTATTAGCCCCTGACGTGACTTACTTTCCGTTATTTCACCATGATGATTACTCCACTAGAGATGCTACTGTCACTCCTGCTTTCCCCTTAAATATCCACCCTTACCTGAATCTCATAGCCCCTAACAATTACGAATTTTGTTTGCAATAGTGTCGTGGAGATCTTTCAAGCATTCGTGGAAGAGAGAAGCGGTAGTTCCGGCTTGAGTGTTCTAAGGACCTTCCGTTTATTGAGAATCCTGAAGCTCGTACGATTCTTACCTAACCTAAGAAGACAACTGTTCGTGATGCTGCGTACCATGGATAACGTTGCCGTATTCTTTTCCCTTTTAGTACTTTTCATCTTTATATTCAGGTAAGTCGTTCCATTTCCTTTTTGGCAAGAGTGTTGGAATTGTCGCGGTTGTCCCAGCGTCGGTTCTTGTAAATTGAAGATGCACGTTCCAGGATCGCGATTCGCGCCAGGTATCATTGTCGCGTCGTGTTTAAGGACGTGGGTCAGTGTCGCGTATTGCTCGGATAATCATCTCATCAGCGTAACGTGTTTTGCATGACACCATTGGATGACCGATGGATGTTTACGGGGAATATTTTGAAAAACGAATCGTTAAAATGTCAACGAGAAGCTAGCCGGAGTGTCGGTCGTGTGCAACGTTTATTAAAGAAGATTCGTTGCCATTTGTAATTGTGAAACAGCTTCTTGCCCGTTAACGAAGCTGCGGCTTGATTTGTCGTTACTCTTCGAACACGAAGTGTACCAAGTGACTATATCTTCCGTTTTACTCCTGTCTTCTCTTCTTCATGCGCTTTCACTTTTCTCATCGCATATATATATGGATCGTCGCGTAAACGCATCACATAGATGACCGAGTCGCAAGTGAATCTGGTTATACATATAATATACCGACTCTGTTGCGTTTGTGAGCAGCGTTTTCTAACGTTGTAATGGTAATGACGATGGGTGTTTGTTGGCACGTTTACAAGGGGTGCCTTGTCGGCCCTTTGTCATGGCTTGAGGCATTGAACGTATACATTACTTTCTACCGTTTATTAGAGGACATTTGTACGTATGAATATCGATATGAATATCTATATATACATATATACATGTTCATACGCATGCGTGTACACGGACTGTTTAAAAGAAGATATACACTGTGAATATTGCAAGTTTTTCATAACGAAAGGAAGTGAAAAATTTTTGATCGTTTTGGAATTTGAGTCCCCGTTTTTCAAATATAAGTAATTAAAAATTGAATGTTCCATTTCTAAGGCATCTAAGGCTATCTAATGCACGTTTGAATAGCTAATCATATTTCGTGATCATTAGTGTAATTAGGTAGGGGCTCTTATCATTTTTAAATGGTAAAACTCTATAACACTAAAATTCTAGAATTCTAGAATTCTAGAACTCTAAAATCCTAAAACTTCAAAGTTCTAAAACCCAAATGATTCTTGAACTCTAAAGTTCTAAAATTCAATAAGTCCTAGAATTCTAAAACATTAAAACTCTAAAACTCTAAAATTCTAGAATTCTACAATTTAAAAACTCTAACACTATAAAATTCTAAAATTCTAAGACTACTAAATTCCGAAATCTCAGAATTCTAAGACTACTAAATTCCGAAATTCTAAAATTTCATTTTGCATGCACTTAATGCATAGTCTCTGACTTTATGATAGTCAGAGTTCATCACCTGGGTAAATCTATTCATACCATAAAGACAATATGAAATTCAAATAGATTAATTTACCTAAACTTAAACATAGCACTTCAAAATTCAAACGTCCCATTTTCAATCTCTTATATATAATCAAAAATAAAAACCCAAGATACAAAATGCCAAAAATTTTTTCGATTTCTGTTCTCATGAAGAATTTGTCATTTTCAAGGTGTACATCTTTGATATGGTGTATATCTTGTGTATGAACGTGTATATATATATTTTCGTGTGTGCATGCAGCTTTTACCTATCGACAAATATATGTATATACTATATGTATGTGTGTAAATATGCATACTATTAATAACAATAGTATGTATACGCACACATATTATTACCTATTGATTATTCGTGTATTCGTACGTTTTTTTAATTATTCTATTGTCCCCTCTGTTCTTTTGTTTGCTATGTACTCTAAGTGCCTACAAAATGCGCCTCGGTGTGGTCATCGATATTAGACAGCTTGCGAATGGATAATATGTACTTTTTTCGGTTATTTGATTATGCTGCCTATACCGGCTTCTCACTATCTCGCGTTTGAAAATCATTCAACGATTAATTGATTGCTCATCGTAATCACTGTTACATTTTTTTTTCTAATTTAACTTTGTTTTGTCTATGAATGTTCGTGATGTTCCATATTTAACCAGAATTTAAATATACATTTTATATGGAAATTTTTTTTAAGAATATTACACTTTAGAAATATTTTTTGGTCCTTTTTCATATGAAACTGCTTATGAATACTATTTATAATCAATAATTAAGTTGGTCCATTGGATTGCTTATTGAAGGATAATTAAATAATTATGTTGTTATTTCTTATGGCAGATCGATAAAATTAAACCAAGTTGCATTAAAAGTGATGGAGTGTTTATTTTATATTGGCAATTTATTGAAGTATTATTAATTATGCAGAACGTATAATTATTTTACAAAATAGTTTAAACATTACTGCAGAATTTTACAAAATTTCAAAACTAAAATGAGTAGTTTATCAAACAACGCTCAAAGAAAATTATATATCAGAATTAACAATCAACCCTTCACTGATTGAATTTAATTGTTATTTAAGTTTATTGAGCTTTATTGAGAAAGCAAACTTTTTTATTTTTCGAACAAAACTTTGAAAATAATTGCGAACCACATAGAGTCCAGTTATTATAAAAAGAAAAATTTTATTTTTCTAGTACGAATTAGTGATATTTCAATTAATTAGAATTTATTACTTCAAAATAAGAAAATTTTATTTTATAATGAATTTTTATAGTAATTATTTGCAAGAAACGCGAGTGCGCACCATAGTCAGACTTAAAAAAACAGAAATTTCTTTCTTTCAACTTATATTTATTTTATTACTTTCACAAGGTCCCTCGATTTGATCCGTTTCTCATATACTTTCCAACCCTCCCCTCTGACTTTCTTTTTCTCTGTACACATATTTATCTATCTATATATTTACGGATAAGGAAGTACATTGCACGTTTCGTTGTGTTGTAGTATTCTCGGGATGAACCTGTTTGGTTGCAAATTCTGTGAAACGATGAAAGGCAGCTCTGACGTCGAGTGTGATAGGAAAAACTTTGACTCGTTACTCTGGGCTATTGTGACGGTGTTTCAGGTACCTACAAAGGATACTTTTCCACGTATCCCTCGAGGGTTTTTTTTCTCTATATAGTGTATATTATATTACAATTATATTATATTATATATATATAACACAACTATATATATAATATAATATATACATATTCGTACATATTAACGTTACACACGCATCCACGTACGCTAAGTTACCATACTATACATGCGTATTTGTTACGTTTGTCATTGAACGCTGAACCTCCTCGTACGAGCGCAGACTGTCTCAGCTACTTTTATGATTTCGCGAGGTCTGAAGGTAACGTATGAGAGATACACGAAACTCCTATGGCATGCAGCCGTATCGAGGTAGGAGGAGGTCACGAATCATTCGAGCAATTGAACCTGATGATGTTTCTTCGCTTTCTCTGCTCGTTTACTCGCAGTCGTCGTCTAACGAGTGTTTCAATTATTTAACCCTTTGGGGACGGAGCTTTTCTTTATTCTTAAATTTAAAATAAAAGAAATAATAATTCCATCCTTCGAAGCATATATTATGAAGTTTTACTGTCTACACTTATACCTCGTTTTGTATCAAAAATACAATGTAATATGATTGGAATTATAAATTACTATGGCAATTATGTTTCGACACATATATGCCTCGATCGTCCCCAAAGGGTTGAAAGAAGAACTGTCATGTCGCGCGCGTCAAGTTAGCCTTTGGATATGCTTCAGCTGCTGCAGTATTGCCTCTCTAATTGGTTAGATTCTCGTATACACTGTTGGCAAGCAAGGGTTAATTATAGTAAATATAGTGAAGTATATAGTAATTGTCATTTGTGCAACTAAAAGCAAACTGAACGTCAATGCCAAAGTCTGACCAGAGTTAGCTAGAAGCATTTATGATGTGGCAAGGTAGTGATTGCTAAAAATATGGTTAGTTTGAAATGGGCTTATAATTATAGGGTGCAGTCTGTAAACGCAGAGTAAATCTACGTTATCAAAGTTATCTTACATGTCCATACGCCTTTAAAATTCAATTTTGCTTAGTAGATTTACTGTATACTGAGTGGCAAATTATGATTTTGGTTACTTCTACAGAAATGATAAACCCTGTCTCGATCACGTTTCTGCAAACGAGAGATATATAGGGAGTCCTAAAATGATTGTACAACTCGAAAACTGTATATTTTCTATCTTAACAGAGATTATAATATCATGCTTCTGTTTGTAATTTATAACCATTTTGCAAAACATAAGCGATTGAAAATTGGAGATTTGATTTCCGGTGTGTACGGTTTCAAACGATAGGCTGATATGTGAATAGCTAACGATGTCTGGAGTCTTTATTTGATCCTTGAACAGCAAAGTCTGAGTCAATATAGACCCAAAATTGCAAAACATATATAAGAATATTAATCTAAAGTTACATGTATCATTTTTAGATGAAAGAGTTTCATTATTAGAAGGATAATTTTTAAAGAAACAATTAAAATAACATAAAGTACAAAATTAAATTAGGCTCTCTCCATGGTCCGCCGTCGGAGGGTTAATATTATATAAAGACTGTCCCATGTAACTGGACCAACCTGTAGCTTTGAAATGGTATCACATACAAAAATTTTAATTAAATAAAATTAAATGATGTCGAATATAGCATTACATGATATTTATGTTGACATCAGAAATGGAAGCATTCCAAAGCTTTTAACGTCATCTTCATTTTTTTTTATGGAACTTTCTACTTTGGTTTAGGTTTAGATCAATTTGCGTAAAAAAAATTCAAAGATATTTGCGTAAGAAATCAAATAGTTAAGAAGATATCTTAGGGAGAGAATCTCTAGTCTCTCCCTAAGATATTTTTTAAATTAATCAATTTCCGACCTCAGTACCTTAATAATTTTTTGTAGAGAACAGCAAGACTGACGTCAAGAAAAATACAAAATTCAATGAACAATTGTCAAATTAGGCGAGACTAAATCGCCTCAAAAGATATCTTTTGAACAATTATTAATCAATTTCCGATCCAGGTACCCGAATATTTTTT